AAAAAAAAAAAAAAAGAATATGGAACCACTGGTGCATGAATCCCATTCTAATCCTGCTCTGCAGAGAGGCAGAGGGATCCACTAGTTAATTTGCTTATTCACTTGGCAATGATAACTCAACAGCCAGTGTTCCAGGCACTGTTCTAGGTGCTGGGGATATAGAGGACGGCAAAGCCAAGCCTCTGCCCTCATGGACATTAGATAAGTGAATGGACACATCGGTGGCAGCAGTTTATAATTACTGTGAAAGAATAAAGAAAGAGAAAGTCAGTGGCAAAGGGGGTATGTGGTTGGAGGCCTCTTGACCAGGTGGGACAGGAGCAGAGACCTGTCTCTGAGGGTGGGAAGGGCAGGGTCAGGTGAAGTCTGGGGGTTGAGCCTGGTGGGCTGAGAGAAGAGGAAGGTTGGGATGCAAGGGGCTGGCATGTTTGAAGCTGGGCGGTTGAGGGAAGAGGAGGAGGGGCGACTGGGGGGCAGCAGGGCATTCCTGCTAAGGACTACACAGTTTGCCCTAAGAGCAAACTGTGCTGGAGGACAGCCCCTGGAGGATCAAGGGCAGAGGAGCTACGTGATCTGTTTTTGTATTTCCAAGTGATCTCTGAGTACTCTGGGAGGATAGGATGAATATTCTGGGAGGTCTTACCAGTAGAATGGTAGTTTTAGGACTTTGAGCAACTCAACCCAGCCTCATTTCTGCTTAACAGTGAGCACTTCCTGCATGCCTTCTGTGTGCTCACTGGGCCAAGCTCTTTATGGTGTTACCTCACTTAATCTCTGTAATAACCTTGAGGAAGGTGTGGTTGTCACCTTCAATTGAGAGGGAAGGACAATGAAATTTAGAAAGATTAAAAAACATGTCGGAGGCCCAGGGCTAATAAGTGGTAGCCTTGGGGTGGGTCCCTGGACTTTCCAGCTCCAAAGCCCCCTAGCTGAGTGTTGCACCTCCCAGGAAGGAGAGCCACTGGTGCATTCTTTTTCCTGAAAACCTCTGAGCACAGGACAGCTGGGAGAAGAGGCTTGTCTTCCCACTGTTGCAGGGCTGGCTGAAGGACTCTGCAGGTTAGGGGAGCAGGCGTAAGAGGACAAGGGGCCCCGGGATGTGGGAGTGGGCTTCTCTGACCACCTGTCTCCCTCCAGTGCGGACCAGGCTTTGGACCGGTTTGCAATGAAGCGGTTCTATGAGGATAAGATTGTACCCATTGGCCAGCCATCCCAAAGAAGGTGAGTTTTGGGGGTTCATGGCCCAGTGCATATGTAGGAACTAGACTTGTGTACCCACAGAGGGTAGGACAGCCATGCCTAAAGGTAAAGGTGTACCAAGTACACATATTCAGATACCAGCCTGGGTGGTATGAGCTCAGGGACATGGTGTGGCACTTGGTTCCTGGGGCCTGTGTTAGAGAGCAGTGGAGCCTTCGTGGGGGGAAGCGTTGGTCTGGGGTGAGAGGGTACTGGTATAAGAAGGCATGTACTATTCTTGGCCTAAGTGGCAGGATTGCTTTCATTCTTGGATAGGACTGCAGGAGACTGACATCACTTCCACTTGACTTATGGAGGACACAGAGACAATGAGGGTCATCTTTAGTTGGAAGAGTTTTAAAAATTTTATTGTGGGCTTTCCACCATGTGGTCTCATTGGAGTCTCACAATAGGCCAGGCAGGAAGCAGGGCAAGGATGGATTCATTCATTCATTCAGCAAAATATAGGTGCCTTGCCATACCCACAAGACATTGCTGATCTAGGTGATCAGGAGATATCTAGGCAAATGGGACAGAGTCCTTTCTCTCAGTGAGCTGATAGTCTGTTGAGAGAAACGGACGCTAAATAAGTCACTATACAAACATGACAATGTCAGATAGTCACTAGTGTTAAGAAAGAAAGAGAACAGGGCACTACAGACATGTGAGTTGGTGGGGGGCAATGGGGCCACTTTAATGGGGATTGTTGGGGAACACTTCTCAGAGAAGGCAAACTGAGCCCCAACTGGAATAATGTTAAGCTGCCATGTGATAATCGAGGGTACCCCCTTTTACAGATGAGAAGCCTGAGCCTAGGACTCATGCTCAGCCCCTTTTCTGGCAGAAGGTATGGGCCTGCTGCCTGCCCATGATGTGTCAACATCATTCTACACACTGGGATGTGGAACTGAATCTGCCAGGCAAGGGCTTGTGGAACTTAGCTTCTAATGGATGATGTCCAAGGACACCATCAATCAGGATTGTTGCAGGTGGTTATGAGTGCTGTGAAGACACAACAAATCTGAGTGGCCAGAGAGTGACAGGGTTGGCGAGAGGAACCGATTCCTCTTGATAGGGCTTCTGGGGTGGTGGCACATGAGGTGGGGAGAAGGAGGCAGCAAGGGCAGGTCTGGGGTAAGCATCCAGGCAGAGGGAACAGTACCAAGTACAAAGGCGTAGAGGCCACAGCATCCCATTTGCTTTTCTAGCCCCTGGGAACCCTGGGCCAACAGGACCCATAGCTGCAGATCCTACAGCCACACCATGCTGAGGGCCTAGTGCACACCCTATCAGCCCCATCTTGCTTGGCTGACTAGAAGTGTGCGGCCACACCAGAGGATTGTTTCTGCTATTGCAGTGGGAACCCCAGGCACAGATGAGTGCTCAGGCAACCCAGCACTTTATAATTGGCATAGAACAGTTGATAGCCAGCCTCTGAGGCAGTCATCAGAAACTGGATGTCTTTATGTGCAGAAAATTCTGGCTAGACTCCCGAGACACAGCAGCTGGGGATCAATAAGAGTCTTCCCAGAAAGGAAAGAACCGTTGGTTAAGTACTGATGCTTTAGTTGCTGGCTCACTAGAATAGCTCTAGCCTTGGACATGGTGTGCTCAGACCTTGAAGGGTAGAGACACCTGTAGAGAATCATGCTGTTATGATGGTGCAGTGTGGCTTGGAGAGAGTGGCAGTGCAGTCCCATCTCTGAAGTTGAGCAGTGAAGGCCTAGAGACTTGAAAGGGGTGGCGTCAGTATTCCCTCTCTGGGATTCCATGGTGCTCAATATGTGCTATGTTGTATACTATACAGTTGGGGTGTGTCTCTGTGTGTGGGCACATTATCTGCATCAGCCACTGCATCTGCTTGTGGGTGGGTCACTGTCTGTGCCCAAATGTGAAAGTGCGGCTGTTGGGTTTACTAGGCATTGGTTGCCATTTTCCCGCCTTCTTGTCATTGTCACTGACAGGGAGTGAAACAGTTGGAGGAGAGGAGGACAGGGAGAGAGAGCGGGAGGGGCTTTGTCTGCAACTCCCCCATTCATGTCACCCGCCCCTGCACTCATTGTCCCAGGCACACAGACACATCCTGTTGGCGCGATCAGGGGATCTGATAGGAACCCGCCATTCCAGGTTTCCGGTTTGAGTAATGGGCCTGGGGGTTGGGCAGGGGCCTGAATAGAAGCTGGCGTTGCCCATCAGATTATCTTGCTTGGGTAGTCCGAGGTGGCCCCACCCAGGCTCAGGGACTTGGGCCCACAGGTCTGGAGATGGGCCAAAGGGCCAAGAGACAGGAGGATAGCGATGTCAGGGTTATAAGGATTCCAGTCCCGCCCACCTGAGTGAGCCAACTCTATTGGCTCCTGAAGTATCTCAGGAGGCATTCTGATTGGTCTAGCTAACTTAGCTCTGTATTCTTTAGCCAGTCGGAAAAGGAGGAAGTGCCCACCAATCACTGGCAGAAGGGCTGACCTCTAGTTTATGCAGATGTGTGGAAGCCCAGACTTCTTTCCTTCTCTCCTCCACTCCCAGATTTGTGTGTTTGCTATGTGTCTTTGGGAGTCCAGTGACCCTCCTTGGACCTTACTCTCCCTCTCTGTCTAGAAGGAGAGGAAGCGGGCTAATCCTTTCATTTTTCCGATAGATTTCTGTTAAAGAAGTGGGGGATGTTGACCCTAGAGATGGGAATGCTTACTGGAAGCCACTTGTCTCAAATACCAATGAAACAATTGATGCAGAGGGACTTCACACACTTTAGTTTGATATAATGAAAGTAAAGAACCATCATTACTGAGGTCTTGCTCACTATTTGCTGGACTGTTGTGGACCAGGTGGGGCTATGAATAAAAGTGTAAGCTTGGTGGGCGTGCTGTGGGGTGTGAGGATGTCAGAGCTGTGTGATGGCTGAGCCTGTGCAGTATTGAGCAACTACATGATGCCTGTGAGGCATATGGGGGAGGAGTTTCAGTCCGCTCTGGGGTTGGAAGTGAAGCAGGAAAGAGAGATGCTCATATTGACCACCAGGGGGCGCTAGAGAACGTTAAGTGGGATGTTCTGCTTGACCCAGCTTGGATCTGGTGGGACCTGCTTGCTCTTCCTACCTGGGGCTCAGAGCTTTGATGGAGACCTCAGCTGCCCACAGGCCTGGGGGACACGTTGTTGTGGGGGGAGTAAGTGAGCAGCTTAAGGTAATGCTCTTGGAGGAGAGCGAGCAGAGATGATCTCATCAGCACAGGCCTCTTTCCTGAAGCTGCTCCTCTTCCTGCCGTAGGTACGTGCATTACTTCAGCGGCCTGCTCTCCGGCTCCATCAAAATGAACAACAAGCCCTTGTTTCTTCACCACGTGATCATGCATGGCATCCCGAACTTTGAGTCTAAAGGAGGTACCTGCCCTAAGCCTCTGGCTTCCCTTTCCGATCTTCCACCTCC